TCTTCGTCCGCAACGAGGGCTGAGGAGCCTAACACTCCCTTCGGACTTGGGCTTCGTCGAATGGGAGACCCGGACCCCGAACTCGGCCCGACGCTACCCTCTCCGTTGTTCCCCCCAACAGCAATAGGCCCACCGCTGCTCCCGCTAACAGATGGCCTAGCGATCGGAGCAAGAGGGGGCTGGATGGGTCGTCCGATGGGACCCGGAGGCCCAATTGGCTCGACCACTGACATCCTTCGGGGCTGTTGAGGAGACAGCATCGTAGAGCCGCTAGCCAATGCCGACGTTGTCGATGATGAGGGTAGTATCGGTCCTGCGGACTTGGGGGGAGGTCCAATAGGTGCTGGTGGTCCGCCACCTGGCATACCACCACGACCAAATGATTGAGGATCGAACGGACTGGGAGCGTTGCCACCGGGAGGGGCTCCTGGAGCCCCAAAGTTCCTCGGGAGGGCTGAAGGACCGAGGTTGTTCGGTGCATGAGGGCCACCGGAGATCGGTGGGCCTTGCATGGAAGGACCTGGGCCAAATCCGAACGGTGATGGAGGTGGGAACCGTTGCTGCGCCATTGTCGGCGACAGAGGTTGAGGAAGCATTCCTGGAGGTGGGCCAAACATTGGAGTCGTTGGAGGCACGTGCTGAGGAAGTTGACCACCGATAGGCGTAGCTGGTGCTGAGACCTGCTGCGGTATCGGACGTGAGGAATGATGAGGTTGCTGTTGAGGCAGGGGAGGTTGCTGCTGGTGAGGTTGTTGTGGTTGAGGCTGTTGGACAGGTCGAGGAGGGGTCGTGTTCAAGGAAGTCGTAGAAGATGAAGGAGCAGGCGCATTGTTGTTGCTGGTCGCAACGGACGAAGCAGAATTTGTAGCGGAAACGGGAGCGGGCTTGGTGAGGATCGTCTTTGGCGGGCCGTTGGCCTTGGACGGCGCTCTGGGCGATGTCGGCGCCTTGTTATTACGAGCGTTGTTCCTCGCTGCCTTCTGCTGTTGCTGCTGCTTCTCTCGAGCAGCTTCCCGCTCCTTCTCCTCCTTTTCCTTCCTCTCTCGCTCTTTGCGTTCCCTTTCAGCTCGTTCTTCCCTCTCCTTCTCTTCCCTCCGAGCCTTTTCAGCCGCCGCCTTCTCGGCTTTCTCGGCTTTCTCAGCTCGAAGCTTCTCCTCCCTCTCCTCCCTGGCTTTCCTGTCCCTCTCCTCCTTCTCGCGCCTCTCAGCTCTTAACTTTTCCTCCCTCTCCCTCTTCTTCCTCTCCTTCTCGGCTTCCCGCTCTTTCTCCTCCGCGATTCTCCTCCGCCTCTCTTCCTCCTTCTTCTGTCTTTCCTCCTCCTGAGCTTTCCTCTGAGCTTCTCTCTTCACTCGGTCCTCCTCCCTCCTCCTCCTCTGATCCTCTTCAAGTGCAGCCTGCTTAGCTTTGGTAGCAGCTTCCTCAGCATGCTTCTCAGCCTCCCTCTTAGCTCGTTCTTCCTCCTTCGCAAGCTTCTGCTGTCTGTGTGCATAGAGAACAAACAAAGCATTCGTTAGTGGGTACAGCTCCTTTGTATTCGGGGGAGAAGGTCGAGGAGGTCGAGGAACAACAATAACCGAAAGAACGGTCAAAACGTATAAAAAGAAAAACTTCATCGTCATATAAAACGCTGCCGTGAATAGCAGTTGCCAGATCGATATCGACATTCGTCGACGATGATAAGAATCAAAGAGAAAGTTTGGGGGGAGATGAAGGGGTAATATATATATACTCCCCCCCAAGACACTAGCACCACACACGAGGATGCGGGGCGTGTAAACAATGAGCTTGTTTACCCCGTACCCAAATGCGTCCCCAATACGACCACCCTCGAAGCGATCATCGATAGAATGAATGGTAGAATTCCGAACTTTCGGAGCTACGGAGAACCCCAAAAAAGTTCACGCGTGCAATCGACAATCGCCTCGCGTGCAAGGGATTGGGAAGAGTAATCGCCAGAGTGGTGGAGCGGGTGGGTGGGTGACCAAGTAGAGTAAAGGAAAGGCACAATCAAGGCCCAATCCCTGCCGGATGCACGCCAACAACGCCAGTAGGGTGGCGAGGTGAAGCAAGGAAAGGAAAGAAAAGCGAAAGACGAGGCACAAGGGTAGTACGAACGCAAACCCCGGTCAGCACGCCAACACCATGAAACCACATAACCCGACGAAACCACAATATCCCTGAAAAGCGCGAGCCCAAACGAAAGCCCACAAAACTGGGAACAAGGAAGTAGAACGAAAACTCTCACCTCTTCTTATCCTTCTTCTTCTGGTTAGCATTCTGCTTCTTAGCCTCCCTCTCCTTGGACATCTTGTCCTCGTCCTCCAACTCCCTCAACAACTGCAACTGTCTCTCCTGGGCGACCTTTTCCCGGTAAGCCTGGAGAACCCGTTGCTCAAACATCCGAGCCGCAAAAATGCTGAACATCCGTTTGCCTTCTTCCATTTTTTGCTCTTCGGTCATTACCTAGTAGCGATAAGGAATGGATTAGTCTCGTCATAGCAAGGAGGAAACAGGGGGGAAGAGAACGGAGAAGATCATGGAGAAATGAAAAGGAATAAATGTAGATGCGATATGACGTCTAGAATAGCAACGTGGCGTAGAGTCAATCTCGGGAAGGGATATGAATGAAAGTGTCGAGATTTTTCTATGAAAGAGGGGATCCCTATCCAAGCCCATCGGTACACCGAGGACGACCCAACAAAGCACCGCGCACGTCGCATCCGAACGGGGAATCGATCGTAGCTGATTGTGCGCAGTGGCCTCGAGCAGAGGCAAGGAAGGGGAGGCAATGGGCGAAAAAGCGTAAAGAGAGCGAGAGATTACGACGACAACAACCCACCTCTTCCTCTTCATCATCGTCATCTTCCTCCTCGTCATCATCATCGTCCTCGTCTTCATCGTCGTCGTCGTCCTCATCACCATCGTCCTCATCTCTGTCAAGGAATTGCACAAACGTCAGAATCAGGTAGCAAAACCCAGAGAGAAGGAGAAAGGTGAGCGGTGAGCGTGGGGTGGAAAGGAAATAAGAAAGCAACGAAGGTAGGCGGAGGGGCAAAGTCGACATGGGTGCCCCAGAGGTAGCCATGAAGATGAACATAAAAAGCAGACAGCACGGATTAGACCGTGGATAAGGAGATAAGGATAAGAAGGATATATGTCGGAGTATGTGAAGTGAATGGAGGAAGGACAACCCACTCGCTATCTTCCGCTACGCCTTTCGCAGCATCCTCTTCCCTTTGCATCCGCCTCTCCGCCAGTTGTTCCATCATCTCGAGAAACTTTTGGCCGTCGTTCTTGAGGAGATCATCTGCAACTGTAAGGATGTTCCCAGGGCCTGGAGAAGGGCGTTAGTTTCTGGATCGTGTGACAGAACAGGGAAGAATGGAAGGGGGGGCCAAGAATTAAGAAGCCGGTCTCCGGAAAGTGCGAAATAAGAGTAAGAATGATGACAATTCGAATAATGATGGAAAAACGCAGGTTGTGAGACTAGAAATAGAACAAGAAGACTCACCAGCGACGGTGAGACTAGTTCCGAGGCTGAACAAGCCGTCTCTCGCTGGGGGGCTCTTTGGAGGAACTCCATTGACTTTGCGGTCCACGGCCCGGCCGTTGTTAGGATTCGCAGACGGAGGATTGGACCCTGGAGGACGCCTGCGCTGCTGACCGGGCTTTGTAGGGTAATCCTCTTCGAGCGCGGCGTCGTCTTCTTCTTCCTCGTCGTCGTCGTCCTCTTCCTCATCGTCGTCGTCCTCTTCCTCCTCGTATTCATCTTCTTCGTAGTCCTCCTCATCGGCATCATCATCATCAAACTCGCTCTCCATCCGAGGATGTGGATGCTGATGTGGATGATGGGTATGAGGCTGTTGCTGCTGTTGACGAGGATGCGGCGGTTGCTGACTTTGAGGGTGCTTTCCTCCTCGGCCATTGACCTGTACTTGAGGGTGGGTACCCTTGTGGTTCGGAACAGTGGCTCGTGGAGGATGCTTGCCTTGCTGAGTGTTGTGATGAGGCACATACGGATGGCCAACGACAGCACCGTTCTTGTCGAGCTCAACGGAGCCAGGGAATGGGCCGGGGCCGGGGGGTGGATCAAGGGCACCGCCAGAACTGAGGTATCGCTGCTGGTAGTTCGCGTACTGTTCTAGCTCCTCGTAATAAGCATCGTACAGTACCTCGAGCTCTTCCTCTATTGCATTCCTGTTTTGGATTCCATTCCGACCAAAAATCGTAACAAAGAAAAGTTGGGCACGACATGACGAAAAGGCAAGTAGATTTCGTCAGAAACTCGACCTAAAATCAAAGAGAATTCGGTCGACGTACCGCTTTCGCCCACAAACTGCACAGGAGCAACTGTGCTTCTGCTGTTCCTTCATCTTTCTCAGCACCGTGTCCTTTTCGATCTTGACCAAATTGCGCCGTTCTTCCTCTCCCAATCCCAGCCAAAATTCTTTGATCCTTTCTCTCTCTTCTGTCGTGCTCGTGCTCCAGATCTTGCTGTTTATCTTCGGTGCACCAGCCCCTGCTCCTGCAGCAGCACTGCCAGTTCCACCACCTGCAGTCCCAGACGACCGCTGCTTGCCACTTTGCTGTTGCTGAGCATAACCATGAGGCGGTATTGGTGCCTTTGACTGAGCACGCGCACTAGGTCGAGTATTCTGTCCTTGTTGCTGCTGCTGCTGGGTAGTGGCCGTCGCAGAGGTAGTGTTTTGCTGAGAGTAGGTCATCGGTTTTTTGCCGATTGAAACTTGACTCGGTTGCTGAGGTTGTTGGTTGGAACGGGTCACAGCCATTTTCTTTCCTCTCTTTTCTTAAATCGAAATCGAGAGAACAAGAAAAAATGGTGGTGATGATGGTGCTGTCGATGAGATTTGGGCGTCGAGTGGCCGTTCCGGGAGAGATTGAAAAAGGATGACTAAGCACTTGAGCGTGGTCCATCGTTGGCTGTGACGAAGCAGAGTCAGGATGGTGTCCATATAACGGGGTCTTCCCTAGTCAGCAATGGTGAGATGGCCGAGTGGTCTAAGGCGCTAGATTTAGGTGCTCGGCATTTGCCAAGTCACATGACTCTAGTCTTCGGGCGTGGGTTCGAATCCCACTCTCATCATTTTCGTTTTGACCGTCAAGCGTGGGTTCGAATCCTACTTTCATCATGGGTCTCTTTTTCTAATTCCGTAATTTTGCTCCCTTAAGGGTTCGAATCTCACGCCTATCATGCATCTACGCTTATGCCTCCCTTTAAAACTCTCCAGTCTGACATTCCAACTATGTAGCAAGAAACTCTTTTGAGAAAGGATAGTCAATGTAGGGTGTGGGTTCGAATCCCACTTTCATTGTGGGTCTCCTTTTTCCTCAATCCCAGAGAGAAATGGCTCTAACCAGATCATTTCCTATCTTTAGAATTCATTTGTGACAGAAAAAATTATTTCTGGTCGTTCCATATCAATCTTATCTAACTAGTTTCTCACATGATCACACCAAGACCACGTCACTGATGGAGCACATTTCTTATTGCCTCGCTTCGTGCAGTTTTATTCTACTTCCCTCCATATTGTTTAATCTCCTCAAATGATTACAACGACACCTACCTGTAGTTCTGTCAAACTTACAGGCTTCCATCAAGAGACTTGGCCTCTGTCAGCATGATGTCAAATAATGTGCTCACTGTTCTCTCAACACACAAGTTACAACAGGTCAGGTTGGTGGCACAACCCAATTAAAAATTTAAATTGACAGCCCTCTGGGCTCTCTTCCCAGGTCAGCTCATTACCACCGTCATCAACAACGGATAAGATGGAAAAAGTCTGGCCTCATTTGTCTGTCTGACATGGCAATGATGGCATATTCCTCAGGAAGTTGTACGAACACAGCTATGAGGGATTTCAAGTGTAGTCAAATGTGCTGAAAATTTTGATGATATGGTGGGAGTAGACATGCTCATGGAAGATGAGTCATCCGAACCAGGTGTGCATGGATGTCCTTGAAAAAAATTCCCTTGTCCTGACAGTTCATTTCATCTGTGAACCGGATTTGAAACAGGACCACACCACTGTTTGATTTAATTCTATGACCAGAGCAGAAAGACTATGAGAGCATCAAAGACATCTGCACAAAGCCCCTTTGCACCTTGGCTGCCAATGGTCCAAAGTGAGTTACATGATATCTACTCACACAAACAAACCATTTTGACCTTGGTGTTTTAACAGTAATTTTACGCATCTGAGTATGTAACCCAAGAAGCATCCAAAGCTAACACAGGTCAAGTCTGACACTCAATATAATTACTCAAGATGTACTGGACAAGCATGAGGGGGGCACAAAGGAGAGGAGACTTGGAGATGCAGCTAATCCTGCTTGCCGAGCCAAAAAAAGGTGCAGTACCTCCCCACATTATTTTTGATACTTGAAGGCTCATTATATGTATTTTGCTGGCCTGTAGCTTGGACAGTTCGCTCAAATGAACCACTATTGTGTCTGGATGCAAGCTACAGTCGGTAGTAACATAATTCATCAAGATACATTTAGATTTATTCGATAGAGGTTGTTTACATGCATTGCAATGGATCGTTTTAATTTGTTTAAAAGCAACTGATTTGTGGAATTGAGTAGAAAGACTGACTAAGATACAGAATGATCTGTAACGACGTGAAACGAAAAGCAATTGTTTGAAATTGGTCTATTTTCAATTTTCTCGTTCTATTTCTAACCCAGAGAAATCAAACAAAACCAAACAACGTGAAACGAGCCATTTCTCACTGGGCCTCAATACTTATCATTCTACGAGGTGGACATCACACTCTCAATTGGTTCTTCCTGTCCACTTTGAAGGCATGGGTTCAAATCCTACTCTTATCATAAGTATACTTGCGCTTCTATTTCTCTATTCTCTTTATACCCTCAATATCCCAGGTATGTAGCGAGAAACTCCTTTGAGAAGGAATAGTCGGTGTAACTGCTTGGATCAGCACTTCCACAAGTGTAATATTTGTCACGGTCTCCCTTCTCCAGCAGCACGTCCTTCATCAAACAGAAAGGCAGGTCCAGCTGATCAAGCAAGGTCAATTGGCAGACACTATACAATAAGCAAGAGAACGGACGTATGTTCACAATGAACTGCCTCCCAAAAGCCACCACATTGCCCTTGGTCTCTGCCACTTCAATGGCCAACTCCCTATCATATCCCCCCACTCGACACGAGAACCCTGTTGCCCCAAATCTCCTGAATGAAATCGTTATTGACTCCCTCAGGAACATTTATGACCATATCCCAGCTATCAGCTCTTGCCTCTTGTACGTGTAAGTACGCCAACCACGGGAATTTATACTTCAACTCTTTCACAAAGTACGCAAACGTCGGTCTTGGGTCCTTCATTCCCATTCCTACATTGGTTCTCAGCATTCAGCAGCTCTAGGTGGAACATACGGCTCACCTTGATATGTACTCCAAGGACTAATTTTGACACCCATCCTCACCTCCCCAATCTCTTGAACCACAGCTTCAACGACTCTCAGAGAAACTGTGCTCTGTTCTCTACGGACCCACCATACCTGTCAGTACAATCATTGCTCATATCCTGCAGAAACTGGTCAATCAAGTACCCCCCTGCAGTATGGATCTCCACTCCGTCCATCCCGGCCTTCTGCACAGCGTTGACAGCCATGTGAACATATTGTTGGACATACTTGTTGAGGCAGAGGTCCTGCCCACGCAGTGGCAGCATGGGACAGACTAGCTCACCTGGAGATAGGCTTAGAGGCAGCAACAAGAGTAGTAAAATTACTGGTATTGCATGTAGATACAGAGCTACTTATATACTATACAGAGGTGGCTGTAGCTACTATAACGGGAGTGACTAGGAATAGTATAGATCATAGTGAAACGATTGAAGCATAGATGCAGCCTGATACAACGGTCCATATATCCGGTAGTCCGGATTCAACACTCCCCCTCACTAAGTGCGGCACAAGTAGAGCATGAAGCATCTATTCGGACGAATAAAATTCAAGTCCAAGATGTTCTCTAAAAGCAGAGAACTTGACATGACCCAAATTCTTGGTAAACATGTCCGCAGGATTGTAGCCACCGTCAATAAAGAAAAGATCAACCTTGCGGTCTGAAACACATTCGCAAATGTAGTGATAGCGAATATCAATGTGTTTGGTGCGACGTTCTTGAACTGGGTTAGAGGCGATGGAAATCGAGCCTTGATTATCTCCACATATGGGTACGGGAGTCATATCAATTCCAAGTTCAGAGAGTAACTGTCGAATCCACACAGCTTGACGACTACAGTTGGATAGCGCCATGTATTCAGCTTCAGTGGATGAAAGTGCAACAGTCTTCTGGGCGCGTGATTGCCAACAGAAGATGCCACCTGCCAATTTGAAGAAATAGCCCGTGATCGACCGACGCTTGATAGGATCAGCAGCCCAATCAGAATCAGTGAATGCTAGTAAACCTCCGTCAGAGGCTCCATCATAGACCAGTGCATAGTCTGGAGTTCCTGCAAGATAGCGGCAAATATAAAGTGCCTTCTTCAGGTGGTCCTCCGATGGATTAGCAGAAAATTGAGAAAGCTTTGTAACAGCGTAGGCAATATCTGGACGAGCGCCAAGCATGATATACAGAAGCGATCCAATCACTGATTGATATCGAGCATGACGTTCAGGATCAACAGGACCTTCGTTGGGTTGTGGAATATAGCCAGCGAGAAGAGGAGTATCAGCTGCTTTTGCATTCTGCATGACAAATCACTTCAAGACCTTCTTCAAATAGTTGGTCTGGTCAAGAAGGATCTTACAGCCTTTGTGATGAATACGCATGCACAAGAACTCTTTAACTTCTCCAGGATCACGGCACTCCCAACGAGCCATAAACTCGGCTTTCTTCTTTTCAACAAAGGCTTTGTTGGGTCTAAGGAATAATGCATCGTCAACATAGATCAAAGCGATACATTCTTCACCAGTCTCACGATCTTTGCAGAAGGAAGAGACCTGCATCAGAAGTCAGATGTTTGAAGCCCATTACTTCCATGGACAAGCTGAGGGCACGTCACCACTCAAGGGCGGCTTGCTTCAGTCCATATAATGCACGGCAAAGGCGATAGACTTTGCCTTCCTGACCCTTTACCTTGAAACCTTCAGGTTGATCCATATAGATCTCTTCCTTAAGTTCACCATAAAGGAAGGCGTTCTTCACATCCAATGCCTGAATGTGCCAGTTTTTGAGAGCTGCAAGTGCGAGCATCATCTGTACAGTTTCAAACCGTACAACTGGTGAGAAGATCTCATCAAAGTCAACACCTTCAACCTGGGAGAAACCCTTGGCAACAAGTCGAGCTTTCTTTCGACTGTCTGACTTGACGTCAAACACCCATCTGTTTTTGACAGCCTTGCGACCTTTGTGTAGGTCAACCAATTCAAAGACCTTGCGCTTGCAAAGAGCCTCTAGTTCATCGCGGCAAGCGGCCTTCCATTCTCTCTGCTGCTCAGCTGGCAGCTTCAGTATGTCACGGAGAGTCCACTCTCGAACGTTAGACATATTGTCATCATGAACAGGAACTGCCCGATTTAACAGATAAATCACGAAACCTACTCCCCCTTCCTGGGATAATTGTTGCACTAAGCTATCGGGCTGACTCCCCCTGGAGTTACACATGGTAGACAGACTGGCACGATTAGTCCCAGGAACCTTTCTAGGTCTGCCTCTCCTACGAGTAGTAGGCGGATCCATGGGTTCTCTATCACCCGTGGCATCTCTCCATGTAGAATTTTTCTCCATATCATGCACAATGCGCAAGGGATTATTTGGGTCTCGTTGTTCACCAAATACGTTATCAGGTTGCTTAGTACCTGTCCGTTTCCTGCCTGAATGCCTTGGCGGTGGAGACTGCTCTTTACCACCCACTGGTGTAGGTGGCCTGGGAGGCTGGAATGGAGGATCAGGATCAGAGTGTTGACGTTCACCCTGAGGTACAGTACCATCTCCATCATTGTCATGAGGAGATTCCGATCGCTTTGGAAGGTTCTTGGGAGGATAAAGATCGTCATCAGACGAATCATCATCACTATCCAAAGAGAAGTTGGGATTTTCACCCAATACCGGCA